TGGCCTGCTTCTTGAATATTGGCCCCCCTCTTCTTGAACCTGGTCTTGGTCACCTTTGAGTCAGCACAAGATTCCTGTTCTGGCACCCTACAATGTGGATTCAGCACATGGATCTTCCTTTTCCTGCTAGCAATGTGGAAGGATCTTCGCAGCCTCGGGACTGGAGGCATGCAAGCTGCCGATGCCCAGATTGCAGCTGGTTTCAGGGTGCTCGGGCCATGGTCCTCCTTCTTCTCAGGGATGGCAGTCTTCTTTTGGGCTCCATTAGCCTGGGTGTGTATGCCAGCAAAACGTGCTTGTTGCCTGAGGGCTTTGGGCGAGGACCAGATGCACTTCAGTGACCCAGAGGCAACCTGCTGCTCTTTCTTAGCCTGGACACTCTGCGTGGAGGCCGGGGCAGTCAAAGACTTGGGCTTGGATGTGTTCAGCTTTTTCATCCATGCATTACCACCAGAATTTCCTTCAGGCGTTGGGAGACGTAATCGTATTCTGAGGCCTCTTAGGATAGTCCGTTTCATCTCAAAGTGTGGAGGCCCAAGAGCAGTATGTGCCTGGGCTTTTCCACCTTTCACTGTGGGCACTTTTTGTGAGCCCACTGGCAACACAGGACCCTGGCGGTGGCCCTGCTTTCCAGGACTCCTCTGGGAGAGCTCTTGGCCTTTCTGGTTTTGCTTTTGGAAGCACAGGCGCACACGCAGCTGAAAGCGAGGACGTGGTTTGGAGCTGGCCTGCTCTTTTGGCACCTTCCGAGGAGCTGTTCTTGTGCTGGTTCTTCGTCCACCTTTCCTTGCACCTTGCAAACAGCCTCCCTCCCCCAGGATATCGAGAGCCACCTTGAGGGCTCTTCTGTATGCTCTGGTCTGCTTTGGTGAGCCATTGCCCTGTGACTCCTTCCCTGCCATGGAGGCAAGGTTCACAATTTCAGACTTGGTTAGGGGCCTTGCTTTGGTGCTCCTCACTTTTCTCTTCTCCCCCATAGGCAAGATTTGCACCTCCAGGAAAGGTGCCCCTCTCTTCTTACTATGGGCTGATGTCCTGGGTCT